AAAAAAAGGAGTTTAAAGAAAAATTTTTGAGTTTGGTCGACTGGAAAAAGGGAAATTTAGCGAAAAAATAGGCTCAAAAGGGGGCGAAATCGCCGTTTTGTAAATATCGCCCGGTCGCTAATTCGCGAGAGCGTAATTCCATCATTTTCCCATAAAATTTCTTTTTTTTTTTTGTGTCATTACAATGGGGAAAAAATTTCCTATCTTTCAAAAGAAAAAAAATTTTTTTTTTTTTAAAATTTTGAAAACACCAGGACCCCTCAGGTTTGGGGTTTGACAGTCAAGGGGTTAACATCGAATCCCTTTCACTAAATTTAATATTTCTAAAAAAACTCCCTTTGATACCCATAAACGAAGGTAAAGTAATGAATATTCATGCGAAATTGGGGAAACAAAAGCGGAGTGAGGAGTGGGTGGGGAAAAAACCGTTTTAAAACGTTTTCCCTGATGGCTGAAGAGAAAAGAATGTTTCCCTCCCCCAGCTACCACACGCTCAACAAATATTATTATCAGAGCACACATAAAATTGCAATAAAAGCCGACAACAAGTTTCACAATTTATTAAGTTAGCAATAGAAATAGGCATTAAAAACACAATAAAAGGTATATCACACAGAGTGACTTATTACTTTCCTTAAATTTAATGTATTAATGGTGAAGGTGAGTGGGGGGGTGTTTATGAATAAAATCAGAATGGCACCCTCTCCTCTAACTTGGCATTAAACCCAAAAGGGGTTACGACTTTTTTTTATTCAGCTAACCTTTGACGCCCCTGTCAAGGAGCCAAATAGTTAACAAAAAAAGTAAACAAGAGGAGAACGAGATACAGAATTGAGACATGTAAGAACACAAATTGAAAGGTAAGGGACACCTTTGGCCCGGCGAAATAAAGGTATTAATATGTGTCTATTTTAGTCATTCACTCCATTTGTAAGAATTTGTAAAACATTTACCCCAATATTTTTTTTTTTTAATAATAATTTCCTCAAAATACAAATACTCTTACATTGTGTACAAGTTGTACAAGTTAGTTCAGAATAAACAAACAGCAACACACCATTTTTTGAGTGAATGAAGATAATAAAAATAATAATAAAAATAATAATAATAATATAATATTATTATTATTATTATTAATAAAAACCCAACTAAACCCCACAAGGGTCATGAATTGATATATATAGAGTAAAGGCATACAAAAAGAAAAATTTTTCTACAGTTATCCTCCAGTTTGACTAGAGAAAACAAAATTCTTCCGACACTATCTACACAGCTGCTTGTAAAACAAATCTCATATTTACATCAATTTTTATTCTTTGAGTGTATGTATTCATGTTTATATGCTATGTAATGGGTTTCATATATATTTTGAGGAAAATATCATAGATGGATTAATGAAAATGCCTATATTGATGTAAAATAAGACATTTAGTGTGCTCAAGAGTGATTATTATTAAGTAGTATTGGCGTCATGAGTAGAGAGACTTAGCGATTTTAATGTGTACCTGCACACCAGCACAGTGTGTAAGTATATTTAGGTACAGGTACACATAAGTATAATTATCAGAGTACATATAAAATATGCAGTAACTTTAACCCTTTCAGGGTCCAAGGCCAAAATCTGAAGTGGTGCCCCAGTGTCCAAGAATTTTCAAAAAAAATTTTTTTTTATTTTTTCTAATGAAATAGTAGAGAATATTTTTGTGAATGTAATAAAACAAAAAGTATGAAATTTGATGGAAAATTGACGAAATTATGCTCTCGTGAATTTTGATGTGTCAGCGATATTTACGAATCGGCAATTTTGCCGACTTTGACCCCCATTTTAGGCCAATTACATTATTCTAGTCAACCAAATTCTTAGCTATTTCACTAGTATTACTTCTATTCTATCGATTGAGCACAAGAATTCACCAAGTCAACTGTTTCAACTACAAAATAAAGTGACCGGAAATTGGTGATTTGGCCAATTTAACACAAAGTTCAAAATATTCCAATTTCAAAATGGGGTCCAGAATAAACAATGTAGTATTCCTGGCATTTAAAACTAACATTTCCTCTGTTCATTAGTTATATTTTGAGGCTTTACAAATAAATTCCTTTTGATTTTTTATTCACATAATGAATTTTTATTCACACCAAAAAATAGAGATTTACTGTTATGCAATATTGTAATAATTGTATAAATATCATCACCACATTTGTGAATGCATATTAGACCCCCCGCTGGTGTGTATTAGACGTGTTAGGTCGTTTGTTTACTCTTGAACATCGCAAAAAATTTAACATTTCCCCCCTTTGAGCTCAGTTTCAAGCCATTTCCATTGCTAAAACCAATCAAAATTATCTTCTATTTCTGTAATATTTTTTCCCATTCTATCAAATGAGACCAAGAAATCACAAATACAACTAATAAAAAACATACGAAAAAACACTGCAAAATCGCTGTTTTAATCGAAAATCACAGTCTCAGTTTTTTCTCTCATTATACACAGTGTGCTGCAGGATTTGTTTTATGTGGTGCACACATACCACACAGTTGTATTCTCTCATATCTAGGCCCAAATTTACCACTCACAGTTTATCAAAGTGAGCTGAGCTCATGACGTAGATCTACGGTTTGGACCCTGAACGTAAAACCATAGATCTACGGGACGGACCCTGAAAGGGTTAAAACACTTGAAATTTTGGAAAGTTTCCTGACATAATAGATGTGGTCACGGAAAATGTAAACAAACCGGGTGGGGGGCGCCGTATTTGAAAGACCACTTGCCATATAGCAAATTTTGGTCATAATTTGACATCGCCGTATTAGTGGAATGCCATAAGGCGAAACGCCATAAGGCAAAATGCCGTAAAGCGGGGCCTTACTGTACACACAAACTGACACTTACCTTTATTGAAGATCTGGTGATGATTGATGGGATGGGAGGAGGGGAGAGTGTGGAAGTTGTTAATGTTTAGAAGGGGAATCCCATTCCATTAGGACTTGAGGTATCAAGTCCTTTTGCAGGGTTACTTCCCTTCTTCTTTTAATGCCACTAGGACCAGCTTGAGAGTCACTGGACCTCTGTCGCACAACATATCTGTCCATAGAGGCCTGTACCTCCCGTTCCTTTATGATTTGTCTGAAGTGGTTCACAACATTGTCATTGTAATAGTCACCAGCATGGCTTGCAATAGCTGTGTGAAGGTAATTTTCATCCATAAAGGTTTGCACTTCAAGCCACTTTGCACACATTTCCTTAATCTCTTTCTTCATATCCATAGTAATTCTCACCCTTTTTCTTGCAGGGTTGGCACTAGAAGCTTTCTTGGGGCCCATGGTGACTTATTTTGCAGGTACAATCACTAAAAACGCTGTGATAATATGAAATGTTCTGATTGTATGCGTGGATGCGACCGCACTGGCTGGCTTGTAAACACTGGCACCCACGGGACAACTGAGGAGTGCTCAGGCCACACGTGGACGCATCTCAAACTAATCGTGTTGGGCGAGTTTTTTAGCATTAGCTGAGGCAAAATTTTTGCGTTAAAATGTATCGTTAGCTGGATTTAACATTAGGTGATGCTATCGTTAGCTGAGGGTCCACTGTATATATAAAATATGCAATAACTTTTAAAAACACTTGAAATTTTGGAATTTCCAGACATAATGGAGAGACTTAGTGCTTACGGATCTCACAGAGAATGTAAACAAACCAGGTGGGGCGCCGTGACCGTATTAGAAAGTCAGGTGGGGCGAGCCGTATAGCGAGTTTTGATCATAATCTGAAATGGCCGTATTAGCGGAATGCTGTAAAGCGAAACGCCGTAAAGCAGGACCCTACTGCACTTGAGTGGGAGAGTAAACAGCGGATGCTTTCTACAGCATGCTGGCGTCACCATCACTTGCCATATTATCGCCTATTTTATTCATTCTAGAGTATATATCATGCTTCTATGTTATTAATATTGTTTATGTCATATTACATGAACTGTGATAGATAACTAAGCCATAGAGTTGATATTAGCATTATTTTGTCATGTCTACTGAGAGGGTGGAATGGATTAATTGCATTTCAATTAATTTAAATGAGGAAAACTGACTCAGCATACGAACAAATCAGGATACGAACACGGTCACAGAATGGATTAAATTCGTAAGCCAAGGTTCCACTGTATACTCTCATATATTCCCCTCTTAACTTTCATGGACAAAGTTTTTTTTATCTCCACAGACTCCTCAGTTCACCGCTCACCTTTTTCCCCTCATCAATTCTATGATTCACCTCACCTTTCATAGACCCATCTGCTGACACATCTACTCCCAAATATCTGAATACATTCACCTCCTCCATATTCTCTCCCTCCAATCTGATATCCAGTCTTCCGTTACCTAAATTTTTGGTTATCCTCATCACCAACTCTTTCCTACATTCACTTTTAATTTCCTTCTTTTACATACCCTACCAAACTCATCAACCAACTTTTGCAACTTCTCTTCAGAATCTCCCAAAAGCACAGTGTCATCAGCAAAAAGCAACTGTAACAACTCCCACTTTGTGTTAGATTCTTTACCTTTTAACCCCACACCTCTTGCCAACACCCGAACATTCACTTCTCTTACAACTCCATCTATAAATATACTGAACCACCATGGTGACATCACACACCTCTGTCTAAAGCCTACTTTTACTGGGAAATAATCTCTCTCTCTCTCGCCTGCATAATGTAACTTGAGCCTCACTATCCTCATAAAGACTCTAAATATAATATGGGATTAAAATACTTTAAGACCCTCAATTCAGTGACAAATACTTCTGCACACCATAAAACTATCATTCACAACATTCTCTCTTACAATACTGGAAGACAGCAAACTCAATTTAGGGTCTTGACAAGATGGTGACTAATTCTTTTAAAGCAAAGAGAATAATAATATACACTTTATTTTTTGCTTAGGGTAGCAGTCGGCTAAATTATGATAAAATCGTTTTTACTTATAAAATAATACTTACAGTCTAAAAAGTGCCAAATCATTCTGGTGAGGATTTCTGGGATCTGGATACAGAATTGGACCAGCAAGTTGCACAAGTTTCACCGGACTGCTTATTAACTGAAATTACCAAACAGTTACTGGATAGCAATAATACCTTATAAACCGTAACATACAAATATTATTTAAGAACGTAATATTATTAGAACAACACAGTAACTAACTAATAAAGACATAACACAAAAAATAAACAATACCTGGTGATGGCAACTATATCTTGAACATCAGTATGTGATGAAACCTTCAGTTCAGCCCTGGTTTGGCATCTGTTGCTGAGAGAGAACCAGGCTACTGGTGACAGTCACCCACATATGAATTATTATTACATTCAAGGGAAATGTTAAATCCATATGGAATATATAGTGCCTGTGGAATGTGAGGCAAGATGATTTGATCCAAGGAAAAGGAGAACTGCTCTAATTCCCTAGATCAAAAGCCCCTCACTGGCATCAAGGCAACTTCCTTGAAGGGCTGGCCCACACAGCTATTACAACCTGGCTAATATGGCGCCTGCGAAGAGGTCAAGATTCCTCTTGAAAACGTCTGGCTTCAATTTGGCAATACAGTGGAACCCCAGTTTTCACACACTCCAGTTATCGGACATTTCAGCTTTCAGACCGTTTTTTGTGCGAAATTTTGTTCCAGATATTGGGCTTTGCTCCGGTAATCAGACGTATGATACGTGTCTGCCCGCCCAGCTGCCCAAGGGATGCCGCCACTACACCTCTCTGTCTGCCTCTGTCACTGGTTGAGTGAGCATTACATTTCGTAATAATTCTTTGTTTTTAGTGCTTCTTTTTTAATTCTGACTGCGATAAGCCAGCATGGGCCCAAAGAAAGTTTCTAGTGCCAGCCGTTTGGTGAATATTTTTGGGTGTCTGGAACGGATTAATTGTATTTACATTATTTCTTATGGGAAAAATTGATTCAGTTATTGGACGTTTCGGTTTTAGAACCACCTTCTTGAACGGATAAGTTCAAAAACCGGGGCTCCACTGTACTTCTGACATCTGATGGTTATAGGGTGAAGAGTCTTGGATCACTGATATTGACACAATGTTCTCTTACTTGGGCTTATGACAACACTGCTTTTCCCTTGGTTCATTCTACAGTGTCTCCCATATCGTTCACTCCAAGTAATGATGACAGTGTGAAGGCTAGTGACCAGGCCCTCAAGTATCTTCTATGAATATATTATCAGGTATATCTCTCTTCTGCATTCCAGGGAGAACAATCCAAGTGCTTTGAGGCATTCCCAAAAGTTTATTTCAGATGGATGGTACCATGAAAGGACACTCCTGAAATACTGCCACAAACGACATGGTGAAAGAGGTCATCCTGGATTGAAATGCCCAGGAGACATGGTGCTCATCTAGAATACAATTGTGTGCATGAATGGTTTTGACAGCCTTACCAAAGTGAAACAGTTGAAGGAGAAACTGAAGGGGTCTGAAGCATCTTTTTTTTTTTCTCATTATATGATTTCATTAATTTTTTTTTTATTCCTTTGAGGCTGCATGTATACAATTACAAATGAACATGAACTATATAGCTATCTAGCTAGATGTCAAGACTAATCAATTTGCAAACATTTTCAGAATATTCCCTTAGCACTGATTATAATAATACAGTGGAACCTCGACTTACAAGTGTCCGAATGTAAGAGTTTTTTTGAGATACAAGCCGTCCCTGGGTCGAATTTTTGCACCAGGTTATGAGCCAACACTTAAGTTATGAGCCAGCTCCCCCTGCTTCCCCATCAATGCAAAACCTGGACACCTCGCTTGTTTATCTATGATTTCATGCTTTAATTCCATGGAAATCATCCTATTTTTCTTCTCAGCACTGTCCTTTACACTTACTTTCTTAGGACCCATGCTTAGAAAAACGAAATTTGGCCAAATGACTGTCAAAAATGTAAGCAAAGCATGAGAGAACTGCTCCCACAGCAAGGTAAACAGTGCACTGAGTTGGTGGTGTTCATTATTATGAGAATAATAATAATAATTACTATCATTAGTAGTTATTTCTATTATTACTATTATTTTTATTAATTTAGGTAACAGAGTTAATTCCCTAGATCAAGAGGCCCTCACCAGCATCAAGGAACCTTGAAGCTGGTGAAGGGTTCTAGATATAGGTTATTGGATCTGTGTTCCAGTTACCTAAATTAATAGAGATAATAATAATATTTTTTTTTTAACAACTCGGCTTCAGTTCCCTAAATTAACCCTTAAACTGTCCAATCGTAGATCTACGTTCACCGGCGTAGCGCTCCAACCTTGATTTTCCTCATTTGAAAGCATATAAAAAAAAATATAGATCTATGTTCGGAGCCTGCCGCATGTCAACGTATACAGTGGTCCCTCAATAATCGTCCAGCCTGAAAGTCGTCCATTTCGAAAATACATAGTCCCATTATTTCGTCTAAACATTGGCTCGCAAATGGCACATTAACTCGCTAATCGTCTTTCGTCCTGGACGCGTACTCACGCTCTGAGCCGCCTTGGCCTGCCTTCCCAGCCAGTGCACCATTGTTTACCAGTGAGCGATGGTCCCCTCACGTGTTCATACGAAATACAGTGGACCCCCGGTTAACGATTTTAATCCGTGCAAGAGGGCTCATCGTTATGCGAAATAATCGTTATGCGAATGAATTTTCCCCATAAGAAATAATGGAAATAAAATTAATCCGTGCAAGACGCCCAAAAGTATGAAAAAAATTTTTTTTTACCACATGAAATGTTAATTTTAATACACACAAACTGAAAAAGGCATGCACAATTACATGACACTTACTTTTATTGAAGATCTGGTGATGATTGATGGGATGGGAGGAGGGGAGAGCATTATCTTCTTACTGTTTAGAAGGGGAATCCCCTTCCATTAGGACTTGAGGTAGCAAGTCCTTTTCTGGGGTTACTTCCCTTCTTCTTTTAATGCCACTAGGACCAGCTTGAGAGTCACTGGACCTCTGTCGCACAACAAATCTGTCCATAGAGCTCTGTACCTCCCGTTCCTTCAAGACTTTCCTAAAATGGGCCATAACATTGTCATTGAAATAGTCACAAGCACGGCTTGCAACAGCTGTGTCAGGGTGATTTTCATCTATAAAGGTTTGCAGTTCAACCCACTCTGCACACATTCCTTAATCTTTGAAGTAGGCACAATGGATTCCACAACTGGCATAGGCTTCTCAGGGTTAGCCCCCAAAACCCTTCAAAATCTTTCTTAATTTCCATACTATTCTCACCCTTTTTACCACAGGGTTGGCACTAGAAGCTTTCTTGGGGCCCATGGTCACTTATTTTCCAGAAACAGCACCGAAAATACTGTAATAATACGAAATATTCCGAGTGTATGCTTGGATGTTACCGCGGAGGCTGGCTGGTAAACAATGGGACGGAGCGGCACATGTGAGGCTGGCTGAGGGCACATTGGACGCGTCTCGGACGAAAATCGGTATGCGGGTTTTTAATCGGTATGCGCGGCAAAAATTTTGCGATAAAAGTAATCGTTATGCGGAAAAATCGCTATGCGATGCCATCGTTATGCGGGGGTCCACTGTATTTCATAATATTCCATTGATTTTAGTGCTTGTAAGTGCTAAATAAGCTACCATGGCTCCAAAGAAAGCTCCTAGTGCCAAGCCTTTGGTAAAAAAGGTGAGAAATACGATTGAATTTAAGAAAAACATCATTGAACAATATGAAAGTGGCGTACGTGTGGGCGAACTGGCCAGGATGTATAACAAATCCTGTACAACCATATCTTCCATCATAGCCAAGAAAAAGGAAATCAAGGAAGCTGTTGTTGCAAAGGGGGTAAATATGCTGATAAAAATGAGATCACCAGTACTCGAAGATGTTGAGAAGTTATTATTGGTGTGGATAAACAAGAAACAATTAGCAGGAGATAGTCTTATGACGTCGCTTATTTGTGAAAAGGCTAGGCAGTTGCAAGACGATTTGGTAAAGAAATTGCCTGCAACTAGTGGTGATTTGAGTGAATTTAAGGCCAGCAAAGGCTGGTTTGAGAGATTTAAGAAGCGTACTGGCACACACAGTGTGATAAGGCATGGTGAGGCTGCAAGTTCTGACAAAAAAGCAGCTGAATTTTTTTTTTTTTTTCTTATTAACACACTGGCTGATTCCCACCAAGGCAGGGTGGCCAGAAAAAGAAAAACTTTCACCATCATTCACTCCATCACTGTCTTGCCCGAAGGGTGCTTTACACTACAGTTTTTAAACTGCAACATTACACCCCTCCTTCAGAGTGCAGGCACTGTACTTCCCATCTCCAGGACTCATAAGAACATAAGAACATAAGAAAGGAGGAACACTGCAGGAGGCCTGCTGGCCCATACTAGGCAGGTCCTTTACAATTCATCCCACTAACAAAACATTTGCCCAACCCAATTTTCAATGCCACCCAAGAAATAAGCTCTGATGTGCAAGTCCCACTCAAATCCAACCCCTCCCACTCATGTACTTATCCAACCTAGATTTGAAACTACCCAAAGTCCCAGCCTCAATAACCCAACTAGGTAGACTGTTCCACTCATCAACTACCCTATTTCCAAACCAATACTTTCCTATGTCCTTTCTAAATCTAAACTTATCTAATTTAAATCCATTACTGCGGGTTCTCTCTTGGAGAGACATCCTCAAAAGCCTATTAATATTCCCTTTATTAATACCTATCTTCCACTTATACACTTCGATCAGGTCTCCCCTCATTCTTCGTCTAAACAAGTGAATGTAACTTAAGAGTCTTCAATCTTTCTTCATAAGGAAGATTTCTAATGCTATGTATTAATTTAGTCATCCTACGCTGAATGTTTTCTAACGAATTTATGTCCATTTTGTAATACGGAGACCAGAACTGAGCTGCATAATCTAGGTGAGGCCTTACTAATGATGTATAAAGCTGCAGTATGACCTCTGGACTTCTGTTGCTTACACTTCTTGATATAAATCCCAGTAATCTATTTGCCTTATTACGTACACTTAGGCACTGCTGTCTTGGTTTAAGGTTGCTGCTCACCATAACCCCCAAGT